GCCAAGTCCCCGCCCCGTCCCTACAGGCCACCCACCTCCACCTCCTCCACCACGGCACCTTCCCACCCCTGTCTCCCCGCAACACACACGCGCCTGCACTGGAGCCTGACTCCCACCTCCTCCCTTCAGAGCTTCAGCTTCTAACCCYTCCTGCTGCCCATGCCCATGCCCCACCCCCTTTCTCTCTGTCCTTCGTCTTTTCCTACAGCGATCATTTTAAGTGAGCGATCAGCTGCTCATTTGAACTTAGTTTATTTGGTTAATTTAAGACAACTTACAGACAGATTCAGTGGCACAAAAAGTTTTTAGTTTTGAAATAATTTCAGCATTCAGTCGGTGTTTCTCTTCATCTCTTCATATGAATAATTAACCATTAAACTGCTGGAGGAAGTGAGACTCRCATGTCTTATTGCGCACGCCTGATCAAGAAATCTGTGATCCACCTGATGGGTCTTATATACAAACCGTGAACTTGCATTAATCCTAAACCATGTACAGTTGGCTTGAATGAGTCGCCTTGATTGAGTGTTGCTTGGTGTTGGAGCAACAGATTAGAGCTGTTTACAAGTTGAAGGCTTGTTCACGCTCAGCTTACAGCTCATTTCCCGATTTTATAAATCTGACATTTGTGAAATGAGCCTCTGGCTACTTATCCTGTAGCTGTTGGAGAATATCAACTCAACCAGAGTTTGGCAGCTAAAATTTTAGATTTTGATAGAAAAACAGTTTAAAGTTTTAAAGTCAGTCCCCTGGTGATGTACTGTGGCTTTTACTGACTTTGTGTTTTTAGCCACTAAGGAGAGATGTGWTCGAAAGCAAGAAGATTATAAATCACTCAGTAGACCTCTGAAAAATTTGTCCTTATCCCTTCTTAGATAGTGATTACAGCCTTGGCTCTCTACACTCACATCACACCCCCACTCATCAATTTTGCATTGATCAACATGCCTTGATGTTGGAGAATGGCTATTTGGTATCTTGTTGCAGTCTCGTGATCCTTCATCTCTGTTGTGACTCTATACATCATGGATTCAGCAGGAGTCATGAGTTTCTCATATGTTCCCCATGTAAAGCTATACCCCAAAATTCTGGCAATTGAGCTAACTAGTTCTAGGGTCACCAGCTTTACATTAAATATGCCTAACTTATCAGCAACACGTCAGCATAAGCTGAAAAATTTATGCATGTACAACATTTTGGGCTGGTACCAGAGTACAAAAACATGCCATTGTTTATCAGCATGCTGGTAAACTTATTCAAAACTTACTCCTAACCTATGTGACTTACACCAGCATGTTTGCCATCTTTTTCCCCATGCTGGCATACTATATGCTCATGTTATAAATCTTTGTGTGACAGCCTCTTTACCTTCTTTTGCTGGGAATGACACCCATCTCCTCACTATCTCCATAGGCGGTCACACGACGGGCCTGCCACCACTCATCATCTGAGGCATTGATGACATGAAGAATATCTCCATACTGGAAGCTGAGGCCCAGGCTGGGGAGCCCACTGTCCTTGGACTTCTTGTAGTCAAACAGAGCCCTAAATATGTGATAATAACAGATAATAACAAATTGAAAATAGATTAGATTCGGATTGACTTTATTGTGATTACATATRTACAAGGAAAGAAAATGAAGTTTGGCATCCAACCAGTAGTGCAAAATGATTGATTTCTATAACTCCTTTGTCTTTCATTGTCACATGCTAAAACATAAACCCAGTAATGCTAGTTTACATTATTATTATTATTATTATTATTATTATTATTATTACAAGACCACCATCAATAAAGGAAATAGGACAATAACTGGTAGCGAAAGCAGTGTCTTTGCCTGTTTTTAACAGGAGAGTAAAGGTTCCTCTGACTGCTGAAGCATTATGTGAAGTTCTGGTGCCAGGATATTCCAGAATTCTTTATAGAATTCTACTGGAAAACCATCCAGACCTGGAGCTTCTTTATTAGGCATGCCCATGGTATGATTGTGACAGGATAACAGATGCATTTGTCTGGGACTTTTAGCATCGTTGGCAAAGTAGGCAGTGCATTAGTCATGTAATCTGTAGGTCATGAGTTCACCTGTTGTTGAGAGGAATAGGGCACATTTTTGCGTGATCATCCACCTGAAGCACTTGTTGTTTTGTGGGTAATGATAACTCTGTTTTCAGTTTGTTACAATTCCAGTAACTTTACCAGTGTGTTGTTTCTTCTGAATTTCCAAAAGCATTCATAATTCAAAGTACGTAAATGCCACGTGTGGAAGATGGTATTGTAGACTAAACATAAAAGTACAGGCTTTGTCTTGATGGAGTCATGTGCTCAATCAGTCATGTGATCAGATAAAATCAAAAGCTTGATCCCGTGGTATGATTGTGACGAGATAACACATGCACTTCTCTGGCATTTCTGGTCGCCGTTGGCGCCCACAGCCGCTC